AGCTTTTAATGTGTAATTAATCTAATATCGTTTAAGAATCAGTGTCATAAATTACATGTATTTTAAACTGTGCAATTTTATTAGATTTTGATTATAATAGGGCTTTTTTAACAAATATTGTTAAAAAATAAAATTTAATAGTGGCCATGTAAATGCATAATTACCTATTTATCTAATTTAATTATTTATAACTAACTGCTTACCCTTAAAAATTATCTCTACATATTAAGGCGAGTTATTGCCTTTCATTAATACTCACTGTGGTCGCAAGATAAAACACAAAAATGTAGAAATTCAAGTAAAACTTATATTTTGCATCTGCTGAGACTTAAAATAATACAAAACAACTTATCACCTCCGGTTGCTTTAATGGCTTATTGGAACCTGAAAGTATATGAACTGAGTTGCAACCCCTGGAATTTTACATAAAGCTATGACACTAACTGCATCAAACAGAGCCTGACTAAATTTCAACACTTGCCAACCATGCCTTCATCAGGCCTTTCAGGTTTGTTCGAATCATCATCTCTCTCTCTGGACAATCAGCAGCGGTGACAACATTCAGTATTTTGTTATGAATGATGTTCATTATGATCTTACTTCTCATTTTAACCTATTCCGCTTGACATAAAATCTAATACCTGCTATTTATAGAACCTCTAGACTGATCAAGTATGTGACAAATAAGATAAAAAAATCACCATAAAGCTAACTATTAGTAAAACGTAAATGTCACTTATCTTCTTTCAAATATGCACAACTATTATTAAGTGTAAAATATTTAATGTTACTTGATAAATTGCATAAAGTTTATTTTGTTCTCAAACTTATTAATAATTATGTTAATTAAATTCATGTTTAGTAATAATGCATACTACTTAGGGATCTATTTTATTTGCAGGATGGTATTACAAAAGCGAAATTTAGGCACAGAATAATATTTTTAATTGAATTTATTCAGTTCCCATTTGCTCATAGGTCCTTAATTTTTTCCATTAATGGTCCTTAAAAGTATTTAATTTCCGTGTGCAGATGTGTACGAACCCTGATTTTCTTCAGTTTCTTGATCGTATCACACTCTTCCTCCATGGGTAGGACAAGAGATGAAAGAAGTTTATGTTTGTATTTTTTCTTCAGTGTCTCCAAAATGCCCTGGTCCATCAGCTGGTATAGGAAGTTACATTTAGGAGGGACAAACATGGCTCTTTTATCTTGGTCTTGTAACTTTTCTGCATCAACAGGAAGATCATAGTTGGTTTCGGTCCCATTAGTGTACATTTTTACATTTTTAAAGGCCTGGGGATTTTTTTATTTGCCTATTAGCACTATTTTGAACTTACAGCTGCCTGTTCCATTGCTGCATGGCAAGATTGTGACTCCCTCCTTGCTTCTTTTGTAGCCAGGTGCCAATTTTTCTTCCCTGGATGAATTTTCGAAGTTGGCATTAAAAAATTCAGACCAGTCTTATCACAATTATAAATTTGATCTCCAGGTATAACCTCCCTTTCAATTAGTTTGTGAAAATTATCCTTTAATATTGCAGCATTTTCCAAGTTAGCAGATAGCTTTTCCCACAAATGTGTACCATATATACCCGCGTATAAGTCGAGATATTTTGGACAAAAAAAGACTTCAAAGTGGGGGGGTCGACTTATACGCGGGGCCATAAAAAATAAAAAGAATCGGAAGTTCAAAAATTTCTTTATATAATGCAGTTGTTTTCTGCCCGCACTCAAATTTTACGACTTATCAAATAAGTCACTTACTTGAAGTAATTTCATGACTTAAATTATGTGACGAACTAATCACAGAGTTTCGTACTTTAAGTAGAGTAAGTTTCGATTAAACCAAAGAATTTTGGCCCCCGAACAACCGATCAATATCGAGCAATAAAAAAGTTTCGCCAACAGGCTAAGAAAAGAGAAATGCAGATAGTTTTTACGTATGTATAAGTCTTTATAATAGTTATTGTTCATTCATGAAATACTTATGTTAACAGGCGTACACGTCAAAATTTAAAAAAAAAGCCCACGCAATAACTGAACAGTTTTGAATATTTCTTTTAACTTTTAAAAAGGGAAAATGCAAATAGATTTTACATACGCGAATCTTTTCTGGAACAAATTCTATACGATCATTTTTCCCCAATTATCCTGCATTTTGGATATGTTGGCAATGCTTTTGCCTGCTGAAATGAATCGGACGTTGAAGGATTTTGATTTTGTTTATTTACCAAGTTATTTTTTATCGTATATTTACTTTTTTTTCTCAGATGATTTTGAATAAATGTAGTACTTAAAAAAAATTTTTTTTTAATTTCTTGATCGATTTCGGAAGTGGGGGGTCGACCTACGCGGGTTTCTTATTTTCTACGAATTTTTTATGTCGAAGTGGAGGGGGTCTACTTATACGCAGTATCGACTTAATCGTGGGTATATACGGCAACTGCCTGATACTGTACCACTTTTTCCATCTGTTGAGCCAGCCAGCACTAGCATTAAATCCATGCTCTCCTTGAATTTCATCATAAAATTTTAGGGCTTTCTCTTGTAAAAATGGGTCCTGAGATGCGTGTTCCCCATTTCCTTTGCTGCCTGAACCACAAATAAAGGGCCTTGCTCACTTTTTCGTATTCACCACCTTTCATACTTTTTCTTTCCTTGAAACTACCTGTACATGCTCTTTTTGTGCACCAATATCAAAGTAGTCCGTATAACACCTAAATCCATGGTAATTTTGTTTAGACTTCCCATTTGTCCAATCTCTTTAGGGCATCAAGTTTCATTTCCATTGTCATGTTACTTTGTTTTCTTTTCGAATGACATTTTCAATTCACAGAATGTCGAAAGTTCTCAAAAATATATTAACCCTTAATATGCCTGGATGTGAGCTGAAGAACAATACCCGCAATGAACTGGGGTGAGTTGCAATAAGATGCAGTCACAAAACTTCAGACAAGTCTCCTAATGTTTCACAACAATAAAAAGGAATATGAGCCAGCGGACAGCTGCTACCTGACTTTCTTCATATTCTCCAAAGAAGCAAACAGTGTTGCCAAGTATTACAACTTATCTTGAAATTTGTTAGACAGTTCCAAGAATTAATGGCACAATGCAAAAATTACAGAGAAAGAACACTCAAAACTTTGAACAGAACATAAAAGATATATGCATGAATAATAATTATATGTACTGTATGTAATATTTGCTCTGTTTTGGCCTAGAGATATCTTTAAAAAGTTTCTAAAAAATTGTCAAGTTATACGGAATGTTGAGATATCAGGATTCGAGTTTGCGGGACTCTACTGTATGTAGTAAAGAATTACATTACATCCAACCAGTCCTTTGAGAATAAGTAATACTTATCTGTAATTTTTATCACTGCTCATTTAGAACAGGGTTTTCAAGCAAGGGGGGGGAATCCAGTCAATTTTTATTTAGCTGTTCAGAGTATTTGGTTTTAGTTTATGAATATAAAAAAACTACTTTTGTTCAAGTTTATGTAGTTATCAACTTTTTTTGTATTTTGTCATTTAATTAATAAAACACGCTAAAAATAATATAAATAGAAATACATGTGTATGTATTTTTTAAGTTTGAAAAAGAATGGAGAAATGAACTTCTAGCAGTAGTTAAAAGGGTGAATTGCATAAAAAAAGGTTAAAAACTACTGTTGTAGTACCTCGCCCAGCTCTCATTCCACAGAATTTCTGTTCTACAATATCATCTTGAATGTGAGATTCATGAAAATGGTCTCAAAATATTACTTATGAGAGCTAAACTGCTTATTGTATCAGTCAAAAGTGAATTTTCAGACAATCATGTCAAATAAAATTTTAGTGCCTAGTCCTCAAAAGCAGTAAAGTGAAAATTAAGTGGTGCCCTCTGTCTGAGTGAGAAAATTAATTAGCGACTAGCTTCTGGTGGTAGAGGCTGACCAGTTTTTTATAATGTATTTAAAAATCTGAAATTTTGTTCAAATTACTATAGTATAAACTATATGTTCATTCTATGAAGGTTTTGAATGAAATGCTTATTTCATGGTATCATTATTGCTATGCAAGAGATCAGTTAGCTATGGGTTCTACAGAGTTCAAAAATGACTATGGGGGTTGACAATAGATTAAGCTGGAAATGCACAACAGATTAGTCTAATGAGCACATGTCAGAAATATTTATCAAGGAATGCAACTCTCACTTTTTCTCAAAATCATGAAGATTCATACCTATTACTCCCTAAATTTGTGTAGAAAAATTATATTCAGGAACAACTTTTTCCTTATTTTCTAACAAATTCCAAGAAATTTTTTTAATATACTGTATAGAAATTTTACATTAAAATTGTCAGTTTTGCTTTATTTTTGACTTAAAGAGTTATCAATAAGAATTCATATACTGACAGTAAAAGTAGGTTTGTTTAAGATGTTTTTTAACATTTAAAGTATCTTTACTACATTTTTCTTTTTAACTGGATTAAAAATTGCCTAAATAATTATGTAGTCGATTATGTAATTATTTAAAATCTTTCTTTGGGGAGGGGGATTACATTTGACCTTCAACCAAGTGAGAATCATTGCTTTATGTAATTTATATAAGTTTGTTTTTTACCTGGAAAGTACACAATACTTCAGATATTATTGTTTAGTTACTTTGAATTATTGCCGTAACAATGTAACTCCTGTGTTTATAAAACTTGCAGAATAACATCTATTCTTTCCTCAAATATAAGGTGATCATAGAGCAGTAAAAAAAGTTGATTTTCATTGAATGGAAGCTACATACTGAAATAACTAAATCAATAATAAATATCCTAATCTGGTATGTAAGCTTTTAAAACAATGTTCAGCACAAAAGTACATGTAAAATGTGAGTAATTTGAATGCATTAGTTTTTCAGTATTCTTTTGCTAATTTTCATTTAAGTATTGCCATGTCTTCTAAGCTATAATTATCACTCATTTTTATGAAACTATTAACATTATCTTTTTTTAATTTCTCCTAGGAAACTCAACTTTGCTGGTCATTGGTTAGCCCTGGCAGCTATTTTTGTGCTGCCTCATGTTTTCCCGCCAGTGGCTAGGTCCAGTGTGCTTTACAGTCGGAAGAGCCACAAATTAGAGTAATATTATTCTCTCAGCAAAACAATGAAAAGTGATCCTTTAGAAGTTAATTTTTTTGGTAAAGAGTCCTAGAATGGAAGTAATTTCAAGAAAATCATCAGAAATATATTTATTCCAGTATTTAAGATATTTGCATATACATAATTATTTACATATACCTAAAAGTTTTAATGGGATCAGTCTTTTAATATAGTTTTTTAATTTATTTTAAAAGTACAAAATATTAAAAGATAAAGACATATAAATGTCCAGTTTAAGAGATAGTTATTTACACAAGTTTTTATGAAAGCACTTATAATAAACAGTCAAACACAAATAAAAATTTTAGTCAAGTGTATTTTATGTGTTAATCGTAAATTGCAATTTGTGAGTATTGTTTGATAAAGCCTGATGTTAGATTTTGTAGTCATCAGGTATCTGCCATATTTTCTATCTCACCCTTTAACTAATAATAAGTGATAACGTAATGGATATGCATATCTAATCTGATTCAAAGAAGCAACTTTTTGAAATAGAAGGTTATAGTTATTTTGATAACCAATCTGATGCAGATCTTACTCCATCTGGAATAAGTATTCTTGCCTTTGCTGAAGAGAGGCCCATGTTTGAACTGTCTCTTGAAACATCTAGAACCATTTGTATCATTTGAAACCAATGGCAATCTAAGATTTAATATTGCTTAATTTTGAAAGGAACTTCTTAAAATCTTAGCAAAGCAGGTATAATAATAATAAATTGGTGCTAGACATTCATCTCCCAAGAAAGAATAATTTTTGTTAAGAAGAAATGGGTGTTCCTGGGTAACAACCCATTTTATGCCTTATCTAATCAGGAACAACTAGGGAACAATTTTTAAGGAAAATTTAGATTATTTTACTGAAGTAGTTTATTTTTAATGTAGTAAACGTTGAACTTTAAAGACTGCAAGGTTTTAAGTGTACTGCACTTGAGAAATTTTCCTTAGAATGAGGAAAATTCATCTTTTGCTTGAATTAATCCTCTTGCCTAAGGAATGATATAAGTTTTCTTTGGTGTAGTAAATTTGGCTGTATTTATCGAATTAAAAAACATCTGGCTGTTGGTTAAGGTACAGGTGTATGTTCAAGTTCTAATTCCTAAATTTTAAGGAAACGGGGAAAAAATTATATTAGCATGTAACAAAAGCATAAAGCAATGTATGTTGAAAAAAAATTCTCAAGTCGAATAAATATATTTTATATTTTAATAACGAAACTATTAAATAAAATTATTTCTAGTATTATAAATTTGTATGCATCTTTATAAGAAACCAAGTATGTAATTAAATATGTAATAAAGTAGTTATGATAATTTTAGGAAATGCATAACAATATCAATAAAATATTGTGCCCAAAGAAAATATTTAGGTATTTGATTGAAATTTCTATTGTTCAGTTTGACATTATTTTAAAATGCTGATAATATCCACAGTTGATTTCATCTGCTAGTTTATAATGAAAGTTTTATATATTTATCGTTTCAATATATTTTTATTAGCATATTTGTCTGAGAATCTAAATTCATAAATCCAGCTTTGAGGAAGTAGCTTTGAAATATTATCTAAGCTAGACTATACTTGTCTGTCGAAGCAAAAAAGCTAAATTCAACAAATATATGCATTCAGTCTTTATAATTTCTCATATATGTTGCTTTGTCTCATTCTGAAATTCTTATGACTTTTTCATATGACATAATAGACAGAACTACAGAAACACTTTACTTTTATAACAGGAAGGAAGAAAGAACTTGTACATGTTTTCTGAATTCCATAACCAAAATATTTCCAGAATTGTTTAATTCCTGCTTGTAACAACATTTAAGGCATATGACTGTATCCATGCTTTGTGATAGGTTGTTAAGAATAATTTTCTACTTTCTTTGAAATTTGCCACTAATTATTTTCATAAAAACTTCTAGTTGAAATTAAGATATTAAATTGATTGCTGCTTCAGTTCCGGGGGGGAGGGCTTCCAAACAACTTGAAATGCTTAGAAATGTGTTAGAGTATCAAAATAATTTTGAAGAAATTTTCCTGATTTTTAATGCACTGAGTAAATTTTAGATACAAATGGAAGAAAGAAGTAAAAAAGAAAAGCAGTAACAATGTGCGCAAAATTTAGAAAAAGGAGGAGTTCCTCATAATTTTTTTTTAAATAGTGTAATTGCATGTTAAACTTAATAATTGAAACAATATGCATTCAGAATAAATCAAAAGGAAGAAAGCTTAATATATTAGCTTTCAAGACAGCAGTAATTAGGCTTAAGTATTGTTTTTGTGTTTGGGAATTAAATTATCCCTACTTATTATCTTTACTTGCATTTTTGTTGCACTTTATGTTTGTAGTGGAGGCAGAATTAAAACTGATTTAGAAGGAAGAAAAGTTGGTTATCATATTGGTATACTTAAAAGTTTTTAAAAAAAATGTTGTTTTAGATATAGTTCATTATTTCAACTTTTGTGGGTGTCTTAAGATTAAAATTTATTTGTAAATAATTTGGATAAAATTTGCTTCTTTGAATTGGTTTGAAAAATTTCTAGATCTACAGACACACTTAATGGGAGGAGAAAAGTGCCCATGCTTCATTGTGTCTTTTTTTGCACTTCTTAATATGCAACACTTTTAAATGCAGTGTGCTGAAAGGTGTAAAAGAAAACTGAATGTCAAAGATTTTAGCATATATTTAAATGTTAAGTATTTGCACTTGGCTCATTTAAATTATACATAGTATGTGTACAGGGGTAAACTTTTTTGATGACCCATCTCCTTTTTTTTATTTCATCATAACTTTTATTTCTTTTATATTGCCAATAAATTGCAATATTGGGTAGATTGATTAAATAATATTTTATAAATGAAGTTATTACTAAGAAAAACTTTCTAATATTGTATTTTGTGAATAGTCTAGAAGCAATGTACAAGATATCAATGGAATTTTAAGCAGGATTACATTGTGCCAAACAATTTTAAAAAATGTTTTATTTGAAGAATCAGCTTTTGTATAAGTATTTATTGTATTGCTTATATTTTTCTTAAAACAAGTGTCTGTTTCTCATTATCCAAGATAATACAACATTTGTTTTTCAAAGAAATGGATAGTTTCCTCTGTATTATTTGAAAATATTAAGAATATTGAGGATTCTACATGTTAGTTAAAAATATCTGGCAAAAAAATTGTAAATGCACGTAGAGAGAACCCAGATAAACAGATTTTTGTAATGGAATGTATGTGTAAAAATGGCATCTTGAGATAGAGTGTTGTTGAGGTAAGTAGATCAAAGTGGTTAGCTGTCATAATTCATCATTCCTGTGGGAAATTTCGAGCAGTAGAGGTTGCTTCAGAGTTTAATCAGCATGTATATTATTTATGGGTTGCAGGCAGAAACATTCAAGAGGATGCAAAATTCCTGAATAGACAGCTTTCGAATCCCCAAACATTGGAGCATATTAACTAGGAGGTGTGCAAAACTGGAATATTCCTTGCTTGCAGCCATAATGGAGACTGGGAAATGCATATCATTATGATTGAATCAGAAATTCTGGACACATTCTTTGGTCATCATGATTAACAGATTTAAAAAGCATGGATTTCTTCTCCTGGTGGCACAATTAAGGGCATGATCTATAAATGTTGATCTAGTGATCAGATTATCAGTTTCTGGGGTATGAGAAATGTCTTTTTAATCATTCAGATTTTTTTTTTCTTTTTTTGCATACTCTTTGCTATCATACTTTTAATTCATACTTTTTTGGATACTAGTACACATGCTATTTCTGCATGCTATTTCTGCATTCTATATAAAATCTGCTTATTTTGGTCATGTTTACTTCCTTTATATTTATACCAGATATTTTAGAATCATCCTGTAAATATTTCAAGGATAAATAAATCAATTTTCCCTCTGATGTTGCTGAAAGAAGTAAACAAAATTTATGATTTTAATTGTCCATGTATTTAAAATTATCTTTTTTTTTTTTTTTTTTTTTTTTTTTTTTTTTGTAAATATTAAGAAGGATTAATTTAAATGCAATTCAGGATGCTAAAATTTGCTTAAAGTTTATTTTATGTAACATCTGTACTATAAGTCATCTTTTTGCCTTATCTAGTCTTCATAGTTTGTTATTAAGCTTACAATTCATATGCTATTGTATTAAGTCATATAAATGTTGCATAAAAAGTGATTTGATTTAGATTTAAAAATTTGTGCATTGCTTAAAAGTCCATTTTGTCAAATATTTGGAGGTAATTTGTATAATGTTTGATCCATGTTTTCTACGTTTGTATTGGATAACAGCTTGAAAACATTGCTCAGTGTTGAAAAAGTAGTGGAGAGTATTTTTCAATATATGGTCAATGAATGGCATATGTATGATGGAATGCTTTCAAAATTTTGTATGTATTAATTTGTTGAGTTTTGCTATGTAATTCAGTAGCCAAAGGGAAGCATAAATCAGAAATGGAGAAAAGTATATTGTTTGAAAACTTTAGTTAATGTCATTTGTTTAAGTATATTGGTTCTGCATTTACTTATTTATTTGTAAAAGATGTAAAAGCATATTTAAATTGTGATAACTTTTCTAGCCATTTACTTTTCTGGTTTTATCAAAATATATTTCTACCATTTTCTGTTTCTCTCAAATGTTCGTGCTGATATTCTTTTAGCGAGTTACGTGTTCAAATAAATTGTAACACAGCATAGAAATCTTTAAAAATGCTAAAAAAATGGGGAATATTTAGGATTCCATATTTGAATGCAGAGTCAGTTTGAAGCACAAGTGGCATAGGCAGCTAGCTGCGTGAGATGCCAATTTTCAGAGGGCATAATAACTGAATTTTCGTAGAAGTAACTACTAGTAAAGATATGCAGCAATATCCCAGCTTTAATGAATATAAATTCAATGTACTCTTGTTTAAAAATTTCAAAAGAAACTAAATTTTAACTGAGCAAAATAAAAATAAATTCTGAAAAATTAATATACTGAATTATTTTCTAGTATGTATATGATAGTTTTTGTTCCCTCTTTATGCAGTCAGATATCTCCATGTAGTTTTATGTGGTTTTAAAGTTCTGCAGCACAAAATTAGATAATGAAACACTTAACATAGATAAACAATGGGCTTATGAAAAGGGGGAGGAAAACTAGACAATGATAATTATGCTATGATAAGTTGCTACCTGAGATTAATAGCTGAACAATTAACAAAATTATTGGAATGATTGAAATCTTGGCAGGGTATGTTATGGATATTCATTTCCATATTGGACATAGCCTTTACGTTTCACCGATAAGCACTTACAAGCAATAAGCAGTGAAATTTGATGCTGCAAAGAAATGCATGTTGTGTAAAGGCCAAAGGGAAAAAAAGTGCAGATATTGCATATTTTAGAGAGTAAAAAATGAATTACAAGAAACCTGCATTTTAAAAAATTATTTCTAATAAAAGCATTTGAATTTATTAATCATGTTTTAATATTAAAAAATGGGGAGAATTTTTCTGAACCATTTTGTTTAGAGTTGTTTTAAGTTATTCATGCATTTAATTTATATGGAGCACTAACAGTATTACATACCTGAAAGATTGAAAATGCTAGAATTAGGTCTGCTAGGGTGTTCCAAAGAATATAAGTTGAGAATTTAGAAAAATTTAAGGAATTTTCTTTTAAAAATTGTAAATTCATATTGTGTCTGTGTTGCTTGTGTGTATAATTCAGACCAATTAGATATATCACAGAAATATGGCCATGTTTTAAGCTGTGTAAATATGAGTGTCGTATTTGCTTAAACTGCTATAGTGAAGTACAGATATGACTAGAAGAAGATGTAGATAAAGAAGTTAGATTTGATTCATGCTGCGAAACTTTAATTTGTGATACGCCCGTTTTTTATACTTTGAATTAGTTGGCTAAATTTTTGAAGAAATGAAAGTTTAGTTACATATTTAGTTTCACTTAAATGAATATTTGTTTTATTGGTGTAATTTCGAAGATTTTTATAAAAAAATGCCATTTGCATCAAAATAATTTGGCAGAGGAAATAAGACTGTTGAGGAATGTAGTGAGATGTAAATAATATTAATAGCAAGGGGTGCTTGATATTCATAAGCATCCCGTGATATATATACCATCTATAGTTAAAAAAACCTTGAAAGGGATGCTTGAAACTTGTGGAGATTCTAACCTACAAATCTTTATAAGAAGATTTAAAATAAATTGTGTGGTAAGTTCTAAATTTGCCATTTTATAAAGGTTGAAAAAATTACATTGAAGGAAGTTTTAAAGAAAAACTTCTAGAATTTCTAGTTATTATACGATATTAAAATTAAAATGGATATAATTAATTATTACATTTTTCCTCCTTAACTGAACATGTGTATGATTTGTATGAAATACAAAATCAGCAACAACAAAAAAGGAAAAGAAAATAATTTTTTTATACTAGCCAATATTATATAAGATTGTGATTGTTATTACAGATTTTGCATTTGTTTTAATGTGTGCAGTGTACTCCCTGGCTTGTGATCAAAAATGTGATTGTCATTATTTTAAGTTCGGAATTTGTTTTTATGTGCGTTCTGGAAACAATATTGCATTAAATCGCACACTGGTTGCTAACTAACCTAAGCAGATTTTTAAAGTTTTAATGTTCATATTGTAGAGCAGTTTTTAATTTTAGTTGCGTTCTTTACACGTTGACTAAATTTTTTATTTTCTGTGATATATTTTTGAGCTTTGCACTATGTATATGTAGATTATTGTAAAAAAAAAACTGTAATGTCTTATTTTATTATTATTATTTCAAAAAATGTCAGAAAAGATGTATTGTCTGGTATATAGAAAATAAAATATTTTCCTACATGTTTTGTCGTAAAAGCTTCAAATTATTTAAAGCACAAATTACAGACATTACATTATTTGTTTGTACACTGCGCAAAATAAGGGGGGACGGGTCTTATCTCCCTTTCTACTGGGCCGAATAACGAAATTCAGCTTGCGTTTTTATGTCTCGAAAGCGCGACTTAGAATATGTATTAGATTTATATATAGCATTGTTCTAATATAGGTTTTTCGACACAAAATCGGATTTTTTTTTCCTGAAATGACATGCCAATATTCTTTCTTCCAGAATTCGAAATTTAAGTTCATTCTAAATAAAAATCGCCCATTTTTTTATGATTTATTTTTATAAATTTTTCGAAAAAACTTTCGAATTATAACGTAAAATTTTTACCGTCATCTTAAAGTAGATGTATTTCTAAACATACCTGCAAAAAATTAAGAGTTTTTATCCAAAATTTCCTAGGCTATACGTGAATTTACATACTGGCGTGTTTTGAAGTTTGGCATATTTGTTAAAAGCGATAATAACGCCAAATGTGGTTTACGCACTTTGTTAATATTATTTAAAACAATGAAGTATGACTTTTTTCCCACTTATAATGAAAAAAATGAAAGGAAAATGGGTTGCTAGAGATTAAGAAGTTCGCCTAATGAATTTTCTTGGCGCAACTGAAAAAAAAAAAAAAAAAAAAAAAATGCGCAAATATAAATTTCTCCCATAAATTTCGCACCAAATTCTACAAAATTTTATATTTAGATACAATTTGAATCGTAGAATCGAAATATGAAAAAAAAATTGGCATGTTATTTCAGAAAAAGTCCGATTTTGCGTCAAAATACTTACTTTAGAAGAATGCTATATATAAATGTAATATATATCCTAAGTCTCGCTCTCTTGATATGAAAAACTCAATTTGAATTTCGTCAATCGGACTAGTAGAACGGGAAATATCGAGCTGTCAGCGATGTGTATGTGGTTTTTTTTTTTTTTTTTTTTTTTTTTTTTTTCCCCATCTAGAGGACTATTATTTTCATTTTGGCATTTTGCGTTGGTTCACTTTCCAAATTGTTGCCACCAAATATTAGAGCCCTATATTATATTTAAAGAGATTAAGTAGCGAAGAATCTGTATAAATGTATGTATGTTTCTCGCATTGTAATAAAACGACTCTACCTAGAGCCAGTACCAGTTTTGAATAACGTACGTTTCCACCCGAATATGGGCATCCGGAAGCCCAAATTTGGAATTTGTTATATTATCTGTTTCATATTTTGCAAAACTTTAACGAATTTTTGGTTAACAAACTCAACGATTTAAAAGCGAGCAATCGCAACGCTGTTCGGGGGAGGGGACTTTTTTATCTCTAGCGCGCGGAACTGTGTATCGGAAATTCTAAAGATATACGAATTTAAAAATTATTTTGCCATATTGCTCTTGAACTGAATTTAATGGTTTTAAGTGCGAAGAACATGATATTTAATAAATGAAGGTAACGCACAAAACGTTAAAATAACGCCCCTTTGGACGTAATTTAAAATCCGAAAGCTTTTTTTTTTTATTTCAAATAAAATATTCAAATCTGCAATTGCATATTCCAAAATATTCTAAGATTGCTATAAATCGACATCAATCACTTTAAAAATGTAACTTTTAATATGTACAATATTTGCATATCATTAATCAAAACATGGTGGTTCAGTTGACAAACACAATCGAAAATCTAAATTTTTTACCGAAGTGTTCCTAAAGTGTACGAAGCATCTAACCATGCATCTATCGAGCTGCCTGTGGAGAGTTTGGAAATTCAGAAGGTACGTCGCGTTTAACACTCGACGCTAGCGCCATCTATCAATTAATCAAAATAATTTCCACAGCATATAATAATATTGGGTAAAGAATTGCATGATGATAAGTTAAGGGATTAAAGAAAAGCAACGCAACAGACCTATGACTAAAGGGAGAGATGCATTCATGGAAGGTATTTTAAAAGGGAGCTAACTCATATTTATGTTGTACATGGGAAAGATTACAAAGATTTTTATGTAGCCAGAACCTGGGTCGAACTACTTTTGTTCAGCGATCTTACCACTGAGCCATTGGTGGGTTGCATATTCATAGAAGAATACTTCCAACTATTTTATTCTCATAGGGCGATTTAAAGTTCATTTTTAAGAATTATTTATTCCAAGCACTGTTTAATAAGTATACTGAAATTATATTTTTATTATGTTTTCATGAAAAAAAAATGATTCTGTTTAGTGAACGATACAATTTTTGTATTGTTGGTCTCTTGCTAGTAGTTAGACTGTACTTTTACTGTAGTTAACATCATACGTGAATAACTTTCAAATATATTTTCAAGAATTACAAATCGTAATTCAGCAATAGCATCAGCTCCTGGAGAAACAATACTGCTGGCACAGTATAGTTCTTATTTCGGTTGCATTTCGATGATACGATCGGCCATTAGAGCCAGTTTTTCGATATCTTCATCACTAACGATTAAAATATTGCGCACAGAATCTGGCATTTTCTGCAGAAATAGTGTTTTAAGAACTTTATCCGAAATGCCATCAGTAGCAAGATTTCGCATTTTTTGTAAAAGTTGACTAGGTTTACTATCTCCCAAGTCTATGCCTGTTAGCAGTCTCTGTAAACGTTTGTTTTCACTTTCTTTAAAAGTGTCAACAGACGTTCTTTAGCAACAGTATATTTGTTTTGCTATTGTGGCTTATAATATCCCACAAACTTTCAACAAATTTTGCTTCAAATTTCGAAACTAAGTAGTTGAATTTAGTTTCCTCGGCAGTTATTCCACAAATAGAAAACTGTGCTTCCACTTGATGAAACCACCTCCGTTCAGCCCAAAAGGGAAGCATTTTCACACTTACCCGTGCTATTTCTTCTTTAATCGCCGATTCTTCACTCTCTGGCATCTTTATTAATAATTCCGAGGTTACCAAGAATGTAGTTGCTTGCAAAGTTCTTTTTTTATAATAATTTAAACGGCCAAAAACAAAAGCAAGAAGAATTTTGTTTCATATATAACATCTTTATTATTCTTTTGTAGCGCTCGTTAACTTCTTGCTGATTCCAACCATGACAACCTTCTAAACTAAACTGGAACTATAGGTGAAGTGAAAGTAGTAGTTATTATCTAGTAGAAGTAGTTGTAGTTATTATGATCAATAATAATTGTTGTCTACAGATGCTTCATCGGTGAATAGCACATTAGCAGGGAAACGGCGATCTGTAACGCACTTTCCAACATACCGTTGTGCAAAAGCAATACGAAGGTGCATAATCGCCCGGTTGAAGTGCCGGGATACGCTGCACGTGTTACAGATACATTCCGTTTTGTCTGAGAATCCTGCAGATGCTGGAACGGGAAAGCCCTACTGTGTGCGCTATACTTCGCGTATTCAAAATTGGAGTCCCCTGTACCAACTTGATGTAGCACATTCTCTTCAATGTCCGGATCCCCTGCTGATCGCCCCCGATTCATGGCAGCTCTTTGAAAGGTACATGTTTCAGATAACCTCCGGTGTAGCCTTGCAAAGGAAATGTGGTTGGTTGGTACGCCTCATAGGGTATCGTTCCGCGTACATGCGCTGTGCGGCTGGCCCACTGCAATCTACAGCTCCATATGCCAAATGCATATCGGCTAACTTCGTGCTCGTATAATTATTTACCCTGCTAAATCTGCATGCGTGTGCGCTTGTCCTTGTTCCTGCAAGAACTTTCACGCAACGCCATCTACCGCGTCAGAAAAGCTTTTCAGATCCTGCATTATTATATGATCCGAGTCGTTAGAGTGCACCCTTCCTCTCCTAGAAGTTCTAGAATGTGGTACTGGGACACCCCGTATATATTGTTATGTGAGAATTTATATTAGATAAGTTTCATTGTGCAGAATGTTCAGAAGTTTGCCTTCATTTACTTATGGTTTCACTTTTTTTTACTATTAGTTATTAGTTTGAATTTGTATTTCCTATTTTCAGTTCAAGCCAAAGTGTTGGCTTCCTGTACGCCCAAGAGAGGTCGTCTACCAATACTTTGAGTTCAAATAAAGGGTGTCTTAACCCTTCTTCAGAGTTGTTATGTACGCACAGGAACTCATTGAATAGTCGCTACTCAGCCCTGCTTAGATCTAGCAAGTAAAGAAATTTATTTCAACTAGAGCATTACTCCTTAAGTATACGTAGGTCAGTCAGAAAGTTAGTTGCACACCTTCGTAAAAATTTTCTGTGAAAAGCTGTTTTGATGAAATTGTCTGGCAACACTTCAGACATTTAGCTGTATCGTGTGACATAGCGGCTTTCACGAGGCAATTTTAGTTTGTCTGATAATTAGTCTTAGACATGTCTCGAGAGCTGCAAGTGGCGTCCAAATTGGAAATGCGTGCACTGATTCGTTTTTTGTGGGCGAAAGGTTATAACTGCGGTAGTTGTATAAAGTTTATGGTGAAAATGCAGTGTCACGTCAAGTCTTCCCGAAGTGATGCCACATGTTTGAGAACAAACGTACAGATATTGACGACGCTGAGCGCGAGGAAAGACCATCAACTACCACAAGTTCTGAAAATACTGCTCGCGCGAATGAATGCATTCTTGCAAAAAGATGCATAACAATAGACGAAATCTCTAATGAAGTGGATATTTCTCATGGAAGTGTGCATAAAATTATTGCTTATAAACTTCAATTTAATAAAGTTTGTGCTCGATGAGTACCTCGCCTACTGACGGACGAACATAACGGGAAGCATTTTGAAAGTGCATTAAAATTTCTGCAACGTTACCAAAAGGAAAGAAACGAGTTTTGGATTAATCATTTCTCACCTGAAACGACATGCAGCTCCCTCGAGTGAAAACATTCCTCTTCCCCGACTCGAACAAAGTGTCCAATTGTTCCGTCTGCGGGAAAAGTTATGCTGACACTGTTTTTCGACAGAGAAGGTTTGGTGCATACAGAGTTTATGCCGAAAGGAAGCCACAATTAATTCATCTTCTTATTGTGAAA